TCGGCGGCTGCTGAAACTGCCCAGCAGCTGCTGAATCAGGGATGCCTGGGGCAGAGCCGGACTATCGTAAGGGGGGACTATGAGGGGTCTGGGGTGGCATCCCCCCCCCACCACACCCCAGACCCCTCATAGCCCCCACTGCTGATAGTCCAGCATATCTGATAATCTGGCATCCCCTGAGTCCTAAAGGTGCCAGATTATCAGAAGTTTACTGTAATTGGCAGTCATTTTGCCTGCAGTTGTTTTGTTCAGTTAGATTTTGTGGGCTGGCTGCATGTGAAACTTTACTCCTCAGCTCATAAAATCCACCTACTCATGGACCAAGATCCTATTGTGCTAGGCACAGTGCAAAGACAGACCAAAAAATGTTTCTGCTCCCACAAGCTTACAGTCTCAATGTAAACCAAGAGATAACAGCTGCATAAAGACTTGAACTTATCTGTTCTGGCTGCACAATTTAAACGGCCCTACATCAGCCTCCCAAGACCAAATGCTTTGGCTCCATCCCCAAAATGCTCCTCCCACCCCCAGTCCTGTCCTTCCCTGTCCTGGCACAGCACCTAGTACCAGGACTTGTGAGAGAGTGCTTGGAAGGCAGTCTTATGGTTGTCTCTAGCAGTCCCCCAATCAGACCCAGGGCTTTTAGAGTCCAGATGCAAAGTAGCCAGAGTAAGGATGAAGATCTCTTCTAAACTGCTTTAGTTCAATGATAAATCACCATTGAGATTCCTCAGTAACTGGTACAAGTTACACAACATATGGAGAATGGGGTTCAACAAAATATTATTGATGTAGGATTTTATGGACAGTATCGTATATATTTATGCAACCATGTAAATAATATTAAAGCAACAATCAGATATTTAAAGCATTAATATATGGTGGTGGTGGCCACAATGGAAAGACACAGGGTAAGATTTTCATTAGAACTGACAGATTCCCTACCAAGTTTCTGCCCAACACATTTTAAGAGACCCAAGCAATAAATAACGCGAAAGGCAATGAGATAATGAAAATGCCAAGAACTGCTAAACTGGAGCAGTGCTGCTATTTTATTCAAAATATTTGCTGCTCCTAAGCAGAAGGAAGGATAAAAATCAGTTTGAAGTTAAAGCTATTTTCTGGTAGACATTTATACTCATGTTTAAAATCCCAAACTAAAAAGTATTACCATTTAACTCACAAATTAAATGCATTTAAGAATAAATACCCATCAATTCTCAATTAATATATAATCCAATCCTTCATTCCTTGCCCATCAGAGCTTTGGGAGTGCAGAGAATACAGGATAAGGCCTTCATTCTATTTATAAGGATTACAAAATACTTGTTCAAATAAACCCATATCCCCCACGAGGAAACCACAATAACATGAGTAGGTTCATTGACTTTAAGTCCAATCAGCTAATAATATGAGTAAGATTTTGCAGGATCAATCCCTTAATTATTTAGACATTGACACATGAAAGATCCTGGACTCAACAAAGTGTCAATAACACTATTATGAGTCAGCCTAAAGGCACATTATAATCGATGGGATTTTGCATACTACCATAAATATACTAAGCATATAAAATATTGTAGGAGACACTGGGTTCAACAGTAGAGAGAGCTACATTATTGCAGATGCAGATCTATTAGACTAATCTCTAATGTCTTAATCAAATATTTAATGAGAAAGTTTGGAGATGGGTGGACACCAAACAATACCATTTTAAAAATAATGCAATAGCATCCTTATATATAGTCCGAGATTCAGAGTAATGAATACTTTAAATTCAGTAGTAATATCTGCAGATTAACTGGCTCATATTTTCAAAGGCAAAGAAATATAAAGTGAAATAGACATAGATGGTTGTGTTACCTGTCTAGAGCTAAGGAGTACTTCTTGGTGCCTCTGTCTGCCACAAGACAAGTTCTTTCAAGACCCTTTGTGGTGGCCATGATAAAAACTTTTCCTCAAATGTTCCTTCCCTTTTTGGAAATGACAAAAATGCTCTCAATTAAGGAGAAATCTCTGCCAAAGATTTAAAAATAACACGTTAACATAATATCTTGTTGATAAATCCACAACAAGAGGAACTACTGTCTTATGGCTGGTGGCGTTGTTAATTCATCCAACAGTGGCTTGCTGGGTTTCTGATATTGGAAGTTTTATGGCACTATTTTCTCCCGATGAAATGATGCAATCCTTATTGCACACATCAGAAGCCGACCACTTTGCCTTAGGTTGCTGACTCAGTCAGGGAAAGCAAACACACACGTGTACAGAAGAAAAGGGATTAAAACAGCCTGATTTGCTTGAAACAATCAAACCACTGTTTACCTCCCTGCTAACTCAGCCTGGAAAGAAAGAAAACTCTCCTTTTACCCAGGTTGGTGCTAGCGGCTGCTGTAAAGAACTCTTTCTTCCTATCCCCCAATAGAATGTTGCTGCAAATGTTTCAGAAAAGTAGGGGACAAGAACAATTAATTATTGCAGTTAATCTGAAACAGGTTACTGAGATCTATATGGGTATGTCTACACTACCCCCCTAGTTCGAACTAGGGTGGTAATGTATGCATACCGAACTTGCTAATGAAGCCCGGGATTTGAATTTCCCGGGCTTCATTAGCATAAAGCCGGCGCCGCCATTTTTAAAAGCCGGC